CGACGTTTAACTATTTAACATGTGAAAATTGATGATAAACTTATTGATTAGAAGTCTGTTAATGCCAGAGATTATTAAATGAAGACTAATTGACAAATCATTAATTTTAATAATCTCAAAAGAAAATGTAGATATGAATATTTCAGTCATTACGTCGTTGTACACGTTTCATAGGTTCGGGTCAAGGGTTAATTAATCTTGTGCTTATAATATTATAAATCATAGACTACCAATGATACTTAACGCGTTCAAAAACAAAAAAGGAAATAAATAATCGTCGAATCAGGCCAAATACCCAAGTTCACCAGAAGATTTTGTTAGAAACCTGAGAAACGGCATTCGTATACAGCAAACACACGAAATAAAATCGTTTACGAGCTTGAAGTTTGCCAATAAACCCCGACCGAGACAAACAAGGTGTAAGTCATCTGGTTCGAAGGATCACCCCCTTCATCCCTGTTCGTCAGAAGGTTCCGTGAAAACTTTCTCTTTTAAGGCACTCGTAAAAAAAGGGTTGAAAGCATGGACTTCTAAAGGCGGTTGAGTTGTCTGCAATTGGGAAAGGGTTGGTGAAAGCGAGCAGCAATAAAAATGCTAAAAATTCGAAAGTTGAGAAAGGGGTGGCTGTATAATGGCAGGGATGGAATTTCACTTTCTTTTCTCGAACACTAGCGACCCGTCACTTTTTTTTTCGTCAGTTCAGTTTTTGCTTGCGATCGGGTGTGTGCCAAGTTCTTGTGACTTCTTTGGTTTTCGACTTTTGAGATTAAAGGTGGAGGAGTTAACGGGAAGTTAAGTGCTTTACGATGCCTTGTAAAAGGATTCGACGGTCTGAGGATTGATTTTTGGCTTTGGGTACCTGGTGCTAATACTATTAATCAGGTTTGTATCTTCAGAACATTTTTAGTTAATTATATATTTTTAAAATTTAAGAACAAATATATTAGACACTTCAAACAATTTTTAAAATATTGCTGGATGACTAATGTTTTTTAGCAGTTTCTAAACACAGCTCAGCGTTATGCTGAGTCAATCTCTTCATAAAATTTTTAATGGTAGCCTTCTTTAGAAACAATCTTCCCTTTTAGGTAGCTAATGTGTATCGGCTTAAGAGAACTTGAAACTTAAGAATCTCTAATGGACTCTTTGATTAGTGATATAGTCATTAACTGTAATCTTATACATTTCGTGTGGCCTAATGTAGTATACCCTCGATAGATTCACGATTTGTTTACTCTGCCTTGGTACTGAAGCTGTTTTTAATGAAGTTTGTATTTCTACAAACCAAACTCTATTCTTAAACGTCAAGGGTCCTCCTATCCTTTCCCCAACAATAGTGTATACAGTAGTAAGCATGTCCGTTATTGCATCTCCTCAAGGTTACAAGGCTTCCTTACCCTACCCCTATATCTGTATTTACAACTATCTTTTCAATTACTCCCTTGCTACTGTTGAAAATAATTTTGACCAATTTTTTTCGAAAATATTTGAAATCAATCTAGCGTTACGATAAGGGTTAATGAAAAAAATACGTGGTAAAATCTGGAGGCTACGCCGTTGGTTTGCCATAGTAATCGCATATGCAGACCTTGCGTCACGAACACGGCTCATTTGGATCATTGAACTCACTCGAACCAAGTGCATAAACATGCCATCTCTTCTTTTTTTGTCCACGACCTAGAGGCAAAACATGACAAAATAGCCGAGATACTTTATAGAATTTACCAGCACTCGACGTGCCATCGATAAGGAACAGAGAGAAAGAAGAAGAAGAACGATAAACGGAGAACACGAAGAGACATAAGAAATTTCTTTTCAAGGAAACCTATTTGATGTTCCTGGAATATGCACCACTCGTACGTTCAATTTTGATGCCACCACGGGATCAAAAAAAGTTTGGAAAAGCTGCATCTTTCACTGGTGGAAAGAACAGCCCAGAGAGAGGAAAAACCAGAAATTTTGAAAGGGAAGCTGGAAAAGCGCCTCGTCTAAAGTTCAATGTGCCCGACCTGGAGGAGAGATAGTTGATCGAGAGAGGAGGACGGTGTCGAGGAATTTTGAACGAGACCAAACGAAGGAAGATGCTGAAGAGAGAAAATATTCCATAAGCTAGAAGGAGAAAGAGGGAGAGAGTGTATCTGAAGAGAGAGCGAGAGAGAGAGAGAGAGGGAAAGAAGGGGGAGATCTCTCTCTTCTCGGCCAATGAGTCGCCGTCTCTTTTGGTGGCCCAACCCTCGGGCAAATATGGCCGCCACGTGCGAAAGGGAGCTTAAGCTAGGGGTTAGGTTAGGTTTGGTGAGGCTGTGATCCTTGTGGACCTGGGCAGAGGGGAAAGAGAGCTGGTCCAGATACTGGAGTGGGGTGGGCATCGTTGTCAGCCATGATGGGATGCTGCGGGATAGGAGCTGCAACCGTATCGTGTTCTTCTCTTCGAAGAATATTTTTCTACTTTTAATCGTGTGTTAAACAATGGAAATTTCATATTCCGCGTTTCGTTTAATTGTTTACTTGACAGTGTTGAAAATGTAAAAAAATGCAATGGATTTGAAGCGTTCCAGGGGGTATAATTGATTCGGCTTTGCTTTTCTTGGAGGATCGAGTCATCGGATGATACGTCATCATGGGGTAATATTGAATTTAAGTTATATGTTGTAATTGTTTATTGCAAAACTGTTAAAATAGTAATTAGAACAGTTAAGAAGGAATTTGCTCAAATTGCAATTGCAGCAGAAACAAGTAGGTCATCGAACGGATGATGAGCCATGATGTCTGGCCATCAGACATAATATACAATCATGTAATATGAATGCATTATGCATGCTATTAACTAAAATAGCAAATTGCACGAGTAGAGAGATAGTTGAAGTTACAATTGAAGTAGAAATAAAATGGTAGAATTCATTGATCGGTAGCTAATAAAAGACATTACACTATTCGTTAGAATAGCTTATTGATCAGCTGAAATTACAAAGCCGAAGTCAAACAATAGACTATGTTTTCTCATAATGAGAAAATACATTTCGTTTAATATAGTATACTATTCATTGCAAAGACATTATGCTATTAGCTAGAACAGTTAATCAAAGAAAACAAAATGGTAGTTACATAACAGTAGCCACTGTTTCATTATCATCACAATTATAAATCAATTTACCAAACTATAAAAGCGATTACTAAACAGAAGCAAAACATTCAACAAGCAATTAGCTTTTATAATTATGCAGCATTAAATCTACTTAATGTTATTACACAACACTGATCTACATTTAACAAAATCAGGAATGAAGAATTCTTTGGAATATTGAGCAACTTGTGACGCGTTTAAACGCATTGCGACATAGCAAAAAAGGAGGACGAGCGTGGTGGTATTAACTTTAATTCTGTTTTAAAACTATCGATGTTACGATATTCTGTAACACTAAACCTGAAATTAATAGCTATTTACCTCCTTCGTGGAACCATCTTTGATTCGTTCTTGCAGCCCCTTAAGCCAATCACCGTTCAACCGAAAAAGACCAATTATCTTACTGCACGTGTAATAAAAAATGAACGGAGAAGAGTTAAATTGTCGAAAAGAAAGTTAATTAAAAGTGTTTAAGTTCCTGATACAAATGTAATGGTACACTTAAAGTAAGAATTTCTTCCATATTTTTTCTCATTAATGAGTTAACTCGTCTTTCTCGGTTAATAAGTCAATTTCTCTTTAAATAATAACTTAAAGAGGCATCTGAAGAATTTTTTGCAAGTACATCGCTTTTAGTGTTTAAATATTATTTCGCCAAAAACCATTGCCTCTACAACACTGTAAATCTCACTCAACGCTGTTTATCCTTTAACATTACCAGTACACCAGGCGTACTAAGATTACGTCTGCCTTCTACAAGTACTTGAATTTACTACTTGGCAAATATTTAGGGCAAACACTTATCGCTGAAACCGAAAGCGAAACACGAAGTTCGTAAAATTATACAAATATTTCCACGTTAGAAAAAGAAAACCAGCAGGTATTCTTAGTTTCACTCTTCGATTATACTACCTACATTTTTTCATTATATTTGTCTCAATACATAAAGTCATAAAGAATTCAGAATGGCCATTGTTAAGTAAACCTATCAGCACCCTAAACAACTAGAAATTTCACTCTTGCTACATCTATTTTGCCATTTATTTTAGTACGCCCACGCTCGTGCAGATAATCTTGCATCCATGCGTGTAAATGGAGCAGGAAAGAAAAATTTCACAAGCAAGTAATGCGAAAGAAAAGGGGGTACCAGACGAAGGTGAAAACGTAGGACGCGAAGAGAGAGTGGGGTAAAGATAAGAAGAGCATTGGCTCGTTTTCGAATACGAATGGTCGTTCGTGATATCGGTTATTATAAATTACCCAGGGGAATCGTGACTACCCACCGTAAAGGGTAAAGTAAAGTAACGAATTAACGGCGCAGGGAGTGTCGCGAAGTGTAAAGTGCCGCGTTCCCGATGCGTGTATCCCGAACTGCACGCCGACGTCGTGAAACGTGAATTTATAATGACGTTGTACTTTCCGGAATACCTATTACGAACTACCATTTAAGGAAGTTGTACATTACGTGTTTCACGGGGCCTACGTGCGTTAACCGACAGTCGAGGTATTTTACGAATTAAGATACTGGTTACAAAGAAGCCTTCGGATGTCCGAGGATCCACCATTTTCTGCATTTCAAGCTTTTTCATTGAACCGTTTCGCATGTCGAGCAGCGACGATTTTAATGCTGACGCGTCTGAGGACTTCGCGATTCTTTAATTTGGTCTTAATCTATAATATAGTACACCTGGTAGACTTCTTAAATGCAATTATGATTTGGGAGGGAATACCGAGGATAACGCGTAAATTACATGATATAAATTTCGTTTTTCCAATCGTCAAGAGGTGGTTAAGACACGATATTTGTTCCATTAATTCGTAACGCAATCCAGTTCTGCCGTTTATAGTTAATAATTAATTAATTAACTTGACTTACCGATGCTGCGACGAATCGTTCCGGCGGCTCAACGGTGCACCAGTAATCTGCAACAAAATGGTAACGCCATCATGTAGAAACTATTCCAAAACTCCCTGTACAAGCTTATTCTAAATATAAAAGCAGACGCATTGCTGCCTATTATTTTACTGGAGGATTTAATTTTAGGATCAGAGGGATGGTTTGTTAAGCAGTAGCCGCTTCAACGCGCCGCTCCAATGAATCACGCGGAACAACAAATCCTCTTGTAAACGCGGTGTCGTAAACCCCTTGGAAATCTTTGGAAACATTTCAAGATTTCTGCTACTCTTCGCGTTTCATCGCCGCTCAACCTTCGGCAAAAGGATAAAACGTTTCCGTTAAAATGGTACAGAAAGGAAACAATGAACAGCACGAGAGAAGTGAAAGTACGCGATCCTGCGGATACGCGATTTCCTTGCTTGCTAAAAAGGGTTAGGAGAAAGTTTCTTATTTACTGCGCTGTAAAAATGACACGAGAAAGGGTTTCCTTTTTTTTGCCTTTTGACGAACCCTTTCTGATGGACCTTCCCTCGCGGTCGACGAACCACCTAGGGTACCGAAAGTTTGACTTTTAGAAAAATGATGATTTTTTTAACTTTCCCTTCTAGACGGGTTTATTCCAGGGTGCCATATTCAGAGACGTTTTATGTTTTTTAGTGTAGGTGGTAAAACCTATTTTAAAGCTATCAAGAAAAATGCATATTCCATCGCTCTTCTTTATTACCATTAATTGCCTATTATTGATGACGTATATATACGTCGCATGCAGCTAAGGGTCCAAACATGGATTTATGCTCCTTTATCAAGTGAAATTTTTATGAACAATTCTTCGAACCTTGAGAGGAATCGTAAATATAAAAGTATCCATCGGAACTGTGATGAAAATGTTATAAAAAAAGGATTGGAAATAAAGAAACATCATAGTTTCTTTATGGAGTTTTAAAAGGGTGTTTAAATTGAAGTTTTATGTATGCATCGCCTATTTTACAGCTAATATTTTTTACAGTATTTAATAGAGATTTTTATCTATAAAATATCAATTGAATTTTTAGATCTTACATATTTATTTAAAAGTTATCATTCTACGAATTGTCAATCAATGTACCACTGCCTTTATCTGCTTTCTTTATAACTTTCTTGTGATAGCTTTTACGAATAACTATGCACTGAAAATCCCTCAAGATTTGCAAAGTAAATAAATAAATTTTGCCATTTTCTATCATCTCCCTTTACGCCACCCTTACGTTCATGTAAATAGGATTTATTTAAATCTTTATGATCGACTACCAATTATTTTCTTCCAATAAAAAATCATAACTTTCAACACAAACCGTCGGTGTTTTCGGATCTCTTCGAAAACAGTTTCACCCGAAACACGGAACAACCCAGATATCAAGAAACTTTATGGAATATCGTATTATCCAAACGACCCAGGACTTCTCTAGCGATAAGAACGTATCAAATTCGAAGCAGAAACTCGAGGGTTGAAGTTGAACGACGACCGACGGAAACTCTTCTCCACCCCTTTCTCCAATTTCCTTAGCCTTCCAAAATATCCTATAAATAATATCGTCCAATAAGGTATGAAAGATAATCATTTCAGGATAATTAACGATTGTTACAATGAAACAAAAAAAATACTAAAATCCACTTTCATTGTTAGTCGACTTGACAGTGGATAAGAATGGTTCGAAAAGCGGATAGGAAGCAGCGTCCTCAAGACGAAATTTATACGAGAGTGTTATATGGGGTCGTTAAAATAAATTAAAGGCGTTTTATCGTTACCCTCGCGGTAATTTATTTAAGCCGTTTCCTATTATATCGCGTCGGAGAAGCACACTGATCGCTTATCCTCGGCGTTCGCTCGCGAACTTGAATAATATCGTAACTGGCACCTTAATCGCGCGAAAACGAGGCTGTAACTTCGCTCGTAATTAGCTGGTAGAAACGTTACAAGCCTTAGATGGGGAGCAACGCGATTAATCGCGTCCTGGATGCGGTGATTGTTGCGAGTTTCTGGTTTTTGAGGGATTCGACCGAGTCGAATGCCTGATCTAAGCGTTTATAGCTTGGATAAATGTGGAGTTTAGTGGAAAATCGTTTCAAGTTATGAGTCTTATCAAGATTTCAATGACTAGCTGCCAAGATTCGTTCTTTAATTTTAACAACAACAAAAAAATTGGAACGAGTTTAGATAATTATCTTTGAAGTTTGAAGCAGGTTTCTATGCATAAGATTCAATTCATGTAAATTTGTTCAATTTCAATCAGTAGCTGTTGGAAAAACTTCCGAACTTTATTTCACATTTTCCCTACACCTAAGATTTGTCACCTTATGGTTACCATTTGTTTGAGTCAATTTAAAGAATCATTAGAAGCAGAAAGGTATTCAAATACCGTAAAGATAGAAGAATTAATATCCAATTGAATTCGTACCTGTCTCACATGTTTTTCAATGAAAGAAAAACTTCCAACTGAATGGCAGGAATGGGTAGATATTGCGACTTCTTCACAACTATGATTTGTCACCTAACGACTGCCATTTCTTTGAGGCAATTTAAGGAAGCATTAGGGGAAGAAAAGTATTCGAATAGGTGGTAGAATTTGTGTACAATTATTTCAGTACCCGTCTCACAAATTTTGCTACTAAAAAAAATTGCAATTCCATGGCAAAACTCTAACAAAAATAATCGAATTTAAATAATTGATTCGGTAAGAATTTTTGCAAATAGTCTCATTTCTATGTATTCGATCGACCCTCCTAGTCAGCAAATACAATGTTTCCTTCGTTCGAAAGAAAAACATCGTACGAAAGAGTGACGATTGTTCGAATGGTACATCAGTCGGTCTTGCTAAACAGATTGTATGTCAATGAGAAGCAATTGGCCGAACGCTGAGGAGCCGTTTAACGGCAATTCGTCGTCATTGCGAACGTCAGTTTCGTTGTAACGTCGCTGATGCGGCGGATACGAAGCCGACTTCTCGTCTGAAAATTAGATTCTCCCCGAGTTCTCGTCTTCTCTCATGTATTATTTATACGTCCGTGGCCGACAACCGAACCTTTCCGAACGATTTTCATCGTCGCCAAAGTGGCAGCGTTTCCTTCAAAACGTCGCTTCCCTTTCGTCGCACGTTCCTACCGTTCAGAAGTCGCCGGCTGCCATTTTCACAGCCGGCCAATCTCTAATTTCATGGACGTTCACGGTTTACTTAAAACACTAAAGAAATCGGACCATTTGCGTGTTGATTGTTACACCGATCGAAGCTGTTACTCGAAGAATGTTAAATCCTAATTGCATTATTTCAACCCTCTTGCTATAGAAGGACACTTATTGTTAGTTCGTGGTATTTGAATAGATCGAAGCTCTCTGAAGGGATGGGTTATTTTTAGAATGTTATATTTTTAACATTGTATTGCGAAAGGCATTACAAATTGCCACTATCCATGCATGAAATTAACTCCCCTCCCAAGGTCGATAAATCAATCAGATTTATAAGCACTGTCTCTCAGTGTCAGTGGCTAATGAACTCGAACAAGCGTTTATTAAACACCGTGACACCTTATCCTGCTTCTTTTTTCGCGAAATGTTCGCATACGTGCCGGGAGTTTATCAATAAAACGGGATAATTAGCACGGTTGTAAACGTCGTTCGCGAGCGACGTCGTCGTAATTTCTCCATTTATTAGTCCGAGCTATTCGACTCGCCTTTTCTTCCATATCTTTTGGTTTACAGACCTACTTTTTGTCACCAACATCGATAATTATTACCTTGTTCGTTCACTAACGTTTATCTACCGGAAAAATCGAGTACACCTTGAATTCTTTTTATTCAAACCTTAAATTAACATCAATTTTTACCTTGTGCGTACAATTTTCTGTTAAATTACTTTTGCATTATCTTATCTCTCTCATAGCTTTTTGAGTATTCATTAATAACAGGTTGGAGTTTTCAATATCGGGTATCTAATACTTTTTCACCGTTTTATGATTGTACTACAATTTCTACTGTACTTTGTGAAACAATTGTATTCAATTCTATCAAGAGTCGTAAGAAAAAATTTGGGTCAACGGTGGCACGCACCCTTCTTGGGGAAGAAAAAATTAACCCAAGGAATGTTACGCGATTTTGCAGGAACATGACACCTTTCACTGGCAAAATGGAAATATCTTTGAAACATTCAGGTTTGGATGAGTGTCTTCCTAGACCCAGATAACCTAGAACGGAGCTCCCCCACAGATTTATCGTCGCGTCTCAGAGCCATTGTTTACGTCTCGGACGGGCTTCGTAAATTCCCGTTTTAAAGTGCCCTGGAAATTGTCTGCACCCACAATTTCGACGCTCGTATCTCTGTTCTTTAAGATAATGCTCGCTTGCTTTTCTTCTACAGTAGTTTTTGATAGGGGAGACACCTTTGTCTCTGTGGATGAATTTGCTTACAAGAGCAAGGTGTATAGAATGTTTTCAAGGTATTTGATAATTTTTACTAATTTCACTCAATCAAAAATTGGATTTCCAAGCGGTATATAAATAACAAAGTTATCTGGAATACGGTGGACCGACTTCATAAATTTTGATGCTAGGAGGTCAAGAATGACCACCCCTATTTCAAAAATTGAACAAGAAGCTTCGCCATCGCAGCTGCAACGATGAAAGTTACCACACCATATCTGTAAAAACTTTGATTAATTTCACCCGGAAGCAACATTTCATCTAAGTATTAGAGTGTAGATTTTATACGAAATAGCTCCTGGATAAACCACGAGAGCAATTTTTATCAAAAACTTTGATTAACTTGTCACACGAAGATCAGCCCCCTCGAAAGTTCAGTTTCACGAGGAGAAATTTCTAACTAAACTTCATACTGTTCTCTATATTTTAAAAGAACGAATTTAAGAAAATAACTGTATTTTATCCTAATTATAGAAAGGATTCGTACTTAAACCCTTCGCTCTTCGAAGGAAGCAAAGATCACTATCTCAACCCTTTATCCTGAAAAAAGAACAAAGAAGAAGAAGAAAGAGCTCATTTTCTCGTTTCCATTGCACCAGGAACCATCGTCGAGGGGTCTGAATTTCAGAACGCAGCTGGTCGAACCAGGAATCGGCCATGTTTGGGCGAAGAGGGAAAGAAAGAGATAGAAAGCCGATCGAAGGAAAGGAAGTAGGGATCTCCGTCGATCCGAGCATCACGATTCAACGAGGCTCGATGCTCTTCCCTATGGAAGGGATGACGGGTCTAGAATGTCGAACCGTTTTGGGGGTAGGTTGCTTCGAAAACCACCCCCTCCGGCTACCGAGAATAATCCAGAGTATAAATTGGATTGTCGGTGGAACGTGGAAACTGAACGTGGCAGAAGGGGATCGAATGGTGCTTGCAAATAGAGAAGAGAAAGGTAACACTGTGAACTGGAGCGCACACGGATATAGTCGACACCTTTCAACACATGGAAATCAGGCTTCACGAACGTACCACGTGGATACGTGCCAAAGGGGAACCTCTATCCTTCGTGATTTTCGCTGCTGGCTCGTCGCGACGATTGCCAGGGAGGAAACTAACGTCGAATTATGCTCGCGTGCCTGCTCGCTCGATTACGCTCGTGTTATCGCGCTACCTTTTGCTATCTAACTAATTTCACGTCCACCGATTTCTCTACTCGCATCGTCGCTTTAAAGTATTCATGTTGATCGCAAAATTTTAAATATTTTCCAGCCTTAAATTTGATTTCAAAGTCGACCATGTATGTGAACTTGAAGTGTTTTAGTTAACATTTATAAATGTTATAGAAATTTTCAAAAGATCCCGTGATAAGTTATTGACAATCGTATCCCTGGCTACAAAAAGAGGATAACACCAAAATGAAAGCAAGTGGAAGGAAAATGAAGGAAACAGAGAACTCATCGCGAAAATGGAAGGGATTAATCTCCGACGATGATCTGTTTGGTCGTGATCCGACATGCAATTTAGAAGGTTCCAAGCCGTGACCGCTACATCTCGTTACTGCAAAGTAAACTCTGATAAATTGTTCGGGGGAGTTGTTTACAAGGTAACGTTATGCTTCTTTACGTGGATATTAGGAACGTCAGAGGTTAATGCGACTCGCCCAGGGTTCGCAAATGTTTGCCCCTTTTCTACCCTTCACTCAAGGGCGGAAAAGAAAAGACTTTTGCCAATCTGAATGTGTTCTCTTATATTTGACGTTTCGTTATTTCTCTGGAGAATAATATTGATCTTAGTTTGATTAGAAAAAGTACTCGATACCTGGAGGTTTTTCTTTCTATGTAATACTCTGTTATTTCTTTTACCTTGACTTTTTTCGTGTTTGTGCGTGCAACATCGCCTTAATTCTTTCATTTATCAGTCTTATTTATTGCACAATATCGAGGCTAAGTTTTGACCCAGTAAGCAAAGGCCAAAAGGAAAAAATAGTATCTCTTTGAAGTCCACAATCCATTGGTCACATGGTAAGATTACAGAAGGCAGGTGAATCTTAAGATAATTTATTGATAGAAGAAAACGATTGGTCGTTCGTTAATCCCTAGTCAACGCAATTCTCTGGTAATCTTCTCATGTATCGTACATCACAGCGATCGCTTCCTGTTCCGAAAGATCATCCCAACAATTGGCTTTCGTAGCATCCATTTTCTTATAAAATTCGGTCTCCAAGAGATCCAGGGAACAACCTAGAAGTTTAAACATCTGGTATCGCGTAACGCCCCAAAATAGACCGGCGAATCTAAAGAGTCTAGCCGCGAAGCTACTCCGAGGTAACGATTTTGGATTGCGCAGTATTTCCCTGAAGAAATTTTGATTACACTCGAGGATAGTTGATCGAAGTAATTACCAATCGACTGAATTAATACTTGAGTAGCTACTGTAGACGGATATATGAGAAATAAATATTTGGACCAAAATGCACTGTACAATGCAAGTAAGAAGAAAATCTACCCTGAAGTCGATTCAGCAGCCACACCTTGAAAAGTAAGGGTCTCAAGTCTATACATATAGACACGTTGCTTCTCTTGCCTTCGATATACTCATTGTTTATTCACAAGCAAACGCCTGTTCCTCCCTCTTTTCGATTTTCTAAGTTTCCTCCCTCAGTTTCCTCTTTTCTCCACCTAGCCGTTGTTCCATTCCTTATTTTTTTCTTTCGCCAATACCAACCGGTCTACAAGAAGAAACACGGGTCTGCTCCTCCCTTTCAACTTTTATAAAATATAAGCAATTTCGTATTTTCCCGTGCTCCTCGACCATGGACCGCGTTTTTACGACGAGCCACCTCGGATTTTGTCAAGTATCCAACCACCTCACCCCTTCTTCAACAACGATCGACTGGTCCTCCGTAGCTCAGAGACTACTATAGCGTAATCCTCTTTGTGGTGGTGGCGGGTCGAACAAATAGCCTCTTTATGCGGCAGAGTTTATTAGCCCTGGAACATGGTCGAACCGAATGGAGCGAAGATCCTCATTGCGGCACGTTAGTTATTATCCTCGACGCCGTTTAATTATTCGAATCGTCGTTGCGACGGCAATATCGTAAAAATGTCCACGTTGCACGCTACCGCACTGCATTTGCAGTTTCTCATAATTTTCATTGCACTCGCTGCTGGACTGGAGGATCCTGCAGCAGGATAACGTTCAGCTGCCGCTACGGATCCCTTATTGAACGATGTCCATTTTGACCGAGAGACGTTGTTGCGTGAAACGAGTCAAAATAATTGGATTCAACGAAAAAATTTGTTGAAATATGGAAGAAAATATAAAAGATACTATAACAGGTGGTGGAAGGCTACCTGCAGTATCTAAGAAGTTAATTAACGATCCTTGTTTAAGATAGTTAACGAATGCCATCGAGCGTTTATCTGGAAAGCGCAGTTAGTTAACTAACGAAGGGCAATTGAACGTGGTACTGCGGAATCGCCTAAGCGAGGAAAATTTACGAGTTGCGCGAATCACAACGCGATGCGGTTCGCGCGTGCAAGCGATGCAGATAAACGCAAGGGAAGCCGCCGCCCTTAATTCTACATTCGTAGTCCCCCCTCGATGGATCTCGTTGTCTCCTCTTGCCGACTGGAAGAGACACGACCACGGGTGCGGCTAATTCCCGCTGAAAACCTTCAACGGCCTCGTTCATTCTAATTTCCAACCAACGTCCCTGATTGGTGTTCGCGACAAGAAATTTCATTTCTCCGCTGCAGACTGCAACTGCACCCACGCCCATATATTCTATGTAACAAGAAGCACGTTCTAAGACTGCTCCCGTTTGCATATGCAGAAGAATATTTTGATTTTTAAACCTTTAGGTTTTGTAGCTGTTCAAAATTTTATAATTTAACTTCCATCGTTTCATTCTTTTCAGGTGCACGCCAGATTCCCAGCTTCTTCTCATCACGGCACGTCACGTCGCGCAGAAATATAAGGTCTGACAATTTCGCCAAGCAGTTCGACGTTAAAACTGAAGCCTTGTACCCTGCGAAAGTCAAGAGGAACGACGATACTTCTTCCCTCCAGCAAGCTTAATTTTCTCTCCGCGTCGACGAGTTCCACGCTCGCTTATTTCCAGTGCAACCGTTCGGTCGCACCTGCACCTGCGGCGAAGAATCGTCGACGAAAGGCCAGAGGAAGGGTGGAGGGACGATTCCCATGGAAGACGTAGGTGGAGTCGAGTAGATTATCTCGCCAGACAGCGAAATGGCAAAGTTCTCGGTCGAAGGTGTATGTCGACGGACGAAAACGAAGACGGACGAAGCGAACCATTGAAAGAGGAAGCGAGACGAGGTTACGTAGAGGGTGAAAGAGGAGGAAGAGAAAGCTTTTTAGGCTTTTCTTCGGAACAGTGCAGACGCAGCTGTGTGGAAACTGCAATGACACGCCCCTCGCCCCAATCCCTCCTCTCCGTACCGTCATCTTCCTCGTCTTCCACCCTCGAACTGGTCAGGGGGTAGGTTCTCCGCGAGCTTGGGCTACCGAGCCAGCAGGGTCGATTCGAACCCTCACCAGCAGTCCTACCCAGTGGTGGGGAATGAAACATACACAGGAATCTCTTTGTGTGCGTTCGACGTCGATGTTGCTCTGCATGGTGTGCAGTTGTTCCTCCGGGTCAGACTGGTCCGCTTTCGAACGCCCGCGAGCTGTACGGAGTGTTGAGAAAGTATACACCCACGGCGAATCATGGGTCAAACTTTGCGTTTAACCTTTGCCTTTTAACATTTAATACACGTTTACTATACATCCTTCTAACTCAATGATAACTGGATTTCTTGAAGGGATTTCTTCCCTTCTGAGTCTGTAACAGTGTGGGTCCGATATAAATCCTTATAATTGAGATATATCAACAAACCTTTTTTCAAATATTCATTCAACTCTTGAAGCAGAGAATCAGTTCCATAAACTATGATCATTGTTTTCACGACACCCTGTACAAGCTCGCGCTTCGAGTTTGTTCTTATCGGTGAAGCTACATCTCCGTGGTGACGGTGGATGCTGGGCTGTGGTGGTGGTTGGCTTGAACGTGTCCTCTTTGCCCCTCTGTCCCGGTTGCTCCGCAGCATCACGCACAGATCGATACGCGGCTGCTAGGTACACCTATTCCAGGATTCTAGCCGGGTGCGAGAGTGGTTTGGCTGCAGGATGGAGGATTTTCGAGCCGGGCGATTCTTGCAATCGCGCCTCTTCCTTCGATTGCGAGAGCCGATCAGCCGATACACTGAAGAAAGGCGATCATTTGGAAAGGCCAGCTGCCGCGCGACGAAATTACATCGGCGAATTTCGCGCGGAAATGCTTGCCCACTATCGTTGGAAACGTTCCAGCTTCCTTTCGGATATTCGTTTTTCTTCTTTCTTTCTCCACCTGTCGCGTCGATGTTTATTGGACCATCCAGTTGCAGTGCATTTGAAATGGTATTGGGTCTGATAAAGAAGAATCTTAATTGGGTTATTTTATTTCGATGTTGATGAAGTCTTCTGTCAGGTACAACTCTTGAAGTTGATACACTTGTTCGTATGTTCATTCACAGTTGATAAACGAATCGCTAATTATGCCAACGTACCATAATTATGATAATCTGACGTTCATCAGATCGACTCGCGATATTCTCAGCAACAATAATTAATCGAATATACAACGTCATCATACTCCACTTTTATGTTCAGTACCGAAACATGTCCACAACGAAGTTGAACAGCCGTTCAATTAAATCGTGCAACACCGATCGTCAGATCTCTTCAAGATTTTTCATGGCTCGCGTAAAAACGATCGAACCACTGTGCAAGCAATTCGCTAATCTAACCGGTGGTCAACAGAAAGAAACCACGATAATCATGCTCCATTTGCGAGACACCGGCGACACAGCTTATCTGTACACCGAAAAATGGCCAAGCGTCTTCGTTAAGCACGATCGGCCTGGTCAGATAAGCTCTTCCTTTTTATGACTCGGCTGTGTTCGCGCGATCAGCCATCGAATCGACCAGCTCCTCCTACCTTCAGGGTCTTCTCCGCCCTTCATCCTGTTCCGCTGTCGGCGAACTGAAAGTCGGAAGAACGTATTCGCTTCCACAGGAAGCGATGTTTTGTTTTTTGTTTTTTATTTTTGTCTTATTCCATAGTCCATCAAATTCCATTTTCCAAAGAACTAATGGAGAAATCGAATATCTACTCAAACATCCAACCATTTTCTATCAATTTCATTACAGCATTCCTATAAAAGACTTCGTAAGGCGGCAACATTTCAAACGTGTCGCGTTAATGAGGCAGAAAGTCGGCTTCTACACCGCGAGAGTAAATAAAGCGAGTAAATAAAGAAGGATTTTTATTCACGGCAAATTGCAGGCTATCTCGATAAATGTACGGTCCGTTTCGAAAGCAGCTACGGGTAAAAAGGAATCATTTCAAAGAAAGAAAGAAGACAGAGAAAAAAGGAAAGAACAGTGGAATCTGCGTTTAATCCATGACCAGATAACGGTCTCGATTGGATCCTACTCTCCAATCGTGCCACTCTTAACGAGCAACTATTTTTCGTTCACTAATGGCTTTCGAACGAAATAAATGTGTTACTATTCGTCCACAAAGATAATTATAATAATGAGGAGAACAAAGTCGAATCAGTGTTCCTTGGAAAATATGTCATTTTTTGTGAACAAGATTGATTTTGAAGGTAATCATACATTTGATTGCACACCTCTGACTATATAATCCCAAAGAAACTGAATTCGCCGGTAAGCTAAATCTAACTTATCTACCTCCATAAGAAATGAACGACAAAAATGTTAAATCGAGCTGCAGCTATCTAATAACGATTACCCTGAGGAGGAATTCTTTTATTTTTCATTTCAGAACAGATGTGTTAGCCACCCCGACACACAATTTCTGCCGGTCGAGACAGAAACGAGGAGCAGCGGTGCACGTGGGCGGTATCATTGGTCCGCGAGCGAATAAATGAATTAGTAAATAACGAATTTTATCCCGCGGCATTGGCCAGGAATCCGATAAGCTGGCAACCTGGCATGGTGATTTCCAGGTGGTAGGGGATATCTGGCGTATAAAAAGCACGCGTTATGCCTACCTGTCCGTCCAATGGGGTAGCTTCAGTCCCGCCGAGCAAAGGGGGGAACCGTTTTTCGAATGAACGAAGAAGCAGAAGAGGAAAAAAAAATGAAGAAGAAGAAGAAGAGAAACATCGAATCGATGCGGTTTCTTACGGGGAACGGGTTCGAGAGCGTTGGCGAAACGCGGTGTCCGCTGGGAAAAGAAAACGAAGAGGACGGACGCGAGTAGAAGAGGATCCGAAGAGAGAAGGGATGAAAAGTGCGAAAGAACGCAACCGTGTCTGATAACTTTAGAACCCTCCCGGGTCTTTATTGATACTTGGACGTTTCCACTTGTCCCATATACATACCGGTGCGCCCCGCGGATACGCTTCGACCCTCGAGCGCACGCCACGGAATGTCCAGGATTACGTGAACCAACAGCCTCCTGATCTTTTCTCTTTTATTTCTTATTTCCTAGCTCTCGCGTCGATTGCTTTTTATTGTATCCGCGATGCTTCGATTTTTTACCTTCGTTGATCTTGTATCAGCAAACTGGACACCATTTTGTTGTGAACTTTGTTGATCCATCTAGGAAGACACACCATTCTAAGTGGATAAGGTGCTCGATCGGCGACGAGGTTCAATGTACCTGTCAAAGCTCATGAAATGTCGACCCAATTTCCCGTCTGGAACGAAAGGACCGACGAAAAATTCGGTTTACGATTATTACGCATTGCGGTGGTGATCTTGATATAAATAGAGCGGCCGCGTGGCTGATGGACGCCTCTCTAAATCACGCTATTCCGCGCGAGGAAGCTCGTCTTCCTCACGTGTTATCAAGATTCAATGCTCTCGTGACCAGCTTCTCTGGTGAAACCTTTACTAGACTTATGGCTACTCTAAGTACTTATTAAATGTTTAAAAATTTTCCATAATCTTTATTTATATTTCTACGTGCCAATAAAAAATTTAATTTAAGAATTTTTATTACTATTAACAGAATTATGTTATTTAGTACAATACATCTGCATCAATTTGTTTAATCCTCTTAAATGTGTTAGACTTACTGTATTCAATAATTCATTACTCATTAACACTTCCCGTTTCCTTTCCATTCTTTACGCCCGTTTAATTATTTTCATTGTAACTACAACCAACCGTCGTGTTATTACATTTATTGTTCTTAATTAAATTGCTCATTTTTATTCAGTTTCGTTGAATAACACGAATCTCGTGTTTTCGACCCATTATAAAACGTGGCTACATTGTACGTAATTCTCGTGTATTTTCACATATTACAGATTCAGTTAGTTTAATCGCCAGTCTCACTAGCGTGTCTGATCTTAAGAATTTTAATATGTAGGTATTTTTAAATAGAAAAGTCTCAATTCGATGGAATTTATCCATTACAGACAGGTTCGAGTTCTTTTTCCCGGTATTCTCAATAGATTTGCGCGGAGTCTAGAAACGTGTCCTTATGTACCTGTCTACGAACACCCTGGGGACCAATGCTTCCTGTATCTATAAACTTGCTGGAGTTATGCCTACGTTTTGCTTGCTCTGGGTACCAGACGCAGTGATACGTTATCCATGCGGATGGCAGAGGGTAGAATTTGTTTGCTTCGAATGATTTTTCAATTCGAAACCTTCTATTTGATTTATGAATCATTCACAACAGCGGTAAACTGCAATTAAACTTTGCAAATTATTTGGAATATAAAAAGAAATGGAGAAAACGTAGCAGATACACTAGGTATATTTTGCATCCGGAAGGTATTTATTTCCGTCACGAACGAAGAGGGAGAAACAAGCAACGGGACAGGTAAAGGCTGGCACACGTTCTTTGAAAACCGGGCAATTAACTGCAAGGTAGATGCGCCTTGTTAGATGAGCAGTCGCGAATGCAGCTGGCATCCTGCCAATAAAATGGCTGATACAAGACACGTGCGAGCGATTCGTGAATTGGATCGAGTCAATTCGATTGCTCCATGCCAATCGACATTTTTCTCTTTTCAATCGACTGACTGGTTTTCCCGATCGAAAGATCAATTACTTTACCTTCACTCCATTCGACTAGTAATATTGTTATTTATAACATCAAGTACGAAGAAAATATTACCTTTCCTAATTGCGAATATTTACAATTTATATTTAATATTCATTTTATAAATTCAAATATATGAGTGCTCATTTCCATGTTAACAAAATCACTCTAGATTCCCATTCCTTGAGCATTTTTGCATTCGTATTACTACAAGTTATAGAACCCTCAGACATCGAAAGAAAATTTGCCCCTTTACATAAAATAATTTCATCATCAGACATTTTTTACTACAACTTAGAGAACGAGCAGAACATTCTTAAGCTGGTAGTGCTAAACACTTTACCCCATACAGTGTTACGGTTATCACCCTCGGCCTCGAAGCATCGGAGACCACCCTCTTCGCGAGTAAGTACGATCGTCTCAAGAACAACACGAATGGAACGTATCCCGAGATTTCTCGGACGAGTTACAGTCTGAAATCCGAGGTATCGCGTTAAATATTCGACGATCGAGCGGACAATTCGAAATGTCGAGGTATCTGTGAGCGACTAAGGGGCGCTCATCCCCCTTCTCGTGCCATCCGGATCGTTTCAATTCCAATTTCGAGGCATCGACTCGGTAATTTTATAACGTCGTAAACGAGGCTCGCTCGTATTGAGTTACGTGTCAACTACCCTCCTCTGTTTCTCCCTTCCTTCGTCACTTCCTTCCCCCATGCTGGACCTTCTCCTAGTGGACATACGAATTCTGGGACCACTGATATTTTTATTTTCATCAAAATAAATTAGTGTTAGCGTTTAGTTCACGATTATTACAAAATTTCCATCCTCTACATTCAAAGATTATAAAACACCCCGTATATATTCAAAATCCGCATAACAGCAAAGAAACGTGGAATGGCTGAAGGAACGATATATCGCCTCTACTTCCTCGTTGCTCTCCTTCATCAGCTGCGTTTCTCGCTTTTTATGCACAATCGTCACGTGGCGATCGCGCCAACCAATGTGAACACATAAAACCTCTCCTCGAATGTACAGATGTTTTATGTACTACGTTTGCTTTCGAACTATAAAATGAGTAAACAACATTACCCACCATTGTTCTTTTTATAAAATAGTCATACGTGGGTAACTCATTCAATTGACAATTGACTTGCAATTTTACATATGGAACACATTCGTTTGTTTTTAATTTTATATCTTGTTATATGGTTTTAAACGCGAAATAGGATTGCTCTATACAATTGTTCAGAAACTTCATTTTTACTTTGTAAATTTTTTCTCAATTGCATTGTAACTTGCAATTTTGCTCATTATGATTCTTTTTACTGATAACATAATAATTTGTTACAATCCCAGCATAAACAAGGTCCAATTATAATAAATAAAAAAGCGATTAAAGTCAGGAAACTGTTATTTACCTGGTACCCTTCTGGATTGCAATTGTATAGGAAACACGAGCAGAATTATTCTACGTAGACCCGACTCGTAAAGGGGTAAATAAGGGAGCGTTCCTGTCCATTCCGACTCGCAAGACGAACTTTATATTGCGATTCACGTTTTACATACAATCCTTGTGGACTAGTAAAGTTCCCCTAAATTACCCATTCCATCCAAGGGACGTCCCACGCCTTTGAACAGAACGCACAAACGTTACCCGAAAGATTCTCGGGCGGTCTGTACCTTCTTGCTAATTTACACATTTACCCGTATTTATTTGCAATTTTGCGAATAAATTTGCTACGTTGTAATCGAAACCAGCAGGAATATCAGCTGAACTTTTTTAATGGCGCGGAATTGTGATCGTCTATAGTAATGAAAGGGTTGAATACACTACGAATTTACTTAATTTACTTAATATTTGGTTCGATATATGCTTTGTAACATAAAGTACTCAACTTCTTTCCGCATGCGCGTCAAAGTACTTGGAAGATGATAATGTTTCCAAAAAGCTAGAAAAGTGAACTAAGATTAATATATGGAGATGCTGGTAGGATCAGCAGCAGCCAAATCCGAAATAAAGAGACAAAGAGCATCGAATTTGCATGGAGGAACGAACCTAACCCCTTTTCAAGACGTGGGAATGAAAGGGTGCGGTGAACGCAAGGAACTCGAGAAATTATAATAAGAAATCGATTGACGGTCGGTTTGCTTTCTTTGCAAGGCTGGACAAGGCTCATCCACCTACAGCGCGACACACGAGTCGAAATGAAGGAAAAGGAAGGTTAGGCCATCAGGAATTCCAGACACGGCCTCCTCCTCGCTGGCCAGTCCTATCTCCTTCTGGTTTTTCGTCCTTTTGCCAGCGAACGGGAACAGACTTGGATAACCCAGTGCAATAAACACACCGATATAATTATCCAGACCCAAACGACGGATAAGGCCGATGTCCCTTCTGCCCTGCGAACGGTTCAATGGTCCCCGAGGTACAGCGACATTTTTGTCCTTTGCATGGGGAACGAAGCGTCTCTTTTAATAAATTGTAATACGTTCAACTTATAATAAATATTTCTTAAGGTTTTCATCAGTGTTTTCTCAATCATTTTTTTTTGTAATCTTTGTTTCGCCCTAATATCTGTCATAATTAAGCTGAGATTCCTTACTTGAGAAGAAGAAAAACGAAAATTGAACGAACTTATATATGACAGTGTAGGTTTGACAACCTCATCCGTCGCGCAAATTGAAAAATGACTGGCTTTCGTCATGTTTGAACCATAGCCTACGCCATCAGCTGTTCTGACACGATCAAATGAAAATTTAATGAATTTTTTTCCGTGTCGTTCGTAACATCGTTGGTTGAAAACAGCGGAAAGACGCATATTAACCACATGACGTACGAAATTTCTTTTTTTGTTATTTTCGATGTCAACTTGCTGCGATTAAAGTCAACTACACGTACGCTGTAAATCTTGCTTAATGGGTCTTAATGTGAAACACTGGTTGCGGTATCTTGGCTGATTCTATTCGTTCAAGACCGAGATTTACGACGAGATCGATGCGGTCAGATAAGGTCAAACGGGTTTTCGTGGCTTGGACCAGCGTAGGATTTGAACGAGGACATGGAAATCGACGTCTTTTTTATGTATAAATAATGGCGTGTAACCGATAAAAAGAATGGCTGTGAAATATAAGATATAACGCTGTTAGAATAATTTGTATATTTAAGATGAACATTATAGATAGCGATACACGATCAAGAACTGTGATTACAAAAAAGTAGCTTGTAAATGTCAAAAAAGTGTCACTGCTTTTTAATTTCTTACTCGTAAATTTGATTAAATAAAATATAAATTTAATGGTCATTTAATTATCTTTAAATGTCATATCCAAAAGATTTAATTTCGTTTCTCAATGTTTATTTATATTTTGTACTTAATTTTAAGTACTAAAAATAGTCAATGAATTTAAACGAATCTAAAAATAGTCAAGATAGTCCCGCATCCAATTAAACAAAAAAAAAACTAAAACTTCCCTACCGATACGAGAAAGATATAGAAACGTAGACAACATAAAATCGATTAATTTCCCATGGACAAAGCAGGGCGGCGTTCAAAGCACTCGAGCCATCTCTCGGTGAGATATGAAAGCCATGAGTTGCGAATACGCCCGATAGAGCGCAGGCCCGTCCCTTTTCATAATGGCCGCTGCGTCGAGCGCGCTGATTGGTTGAGCGCGCGGCGGCCATAATGAACATCGGCCATGAATCACTCCGCGAAGTCCATGATGGCCGACACAGTCAGCCAATCACCGCAACGGGGCGGATATTGAGAAACTTCATTTGAAAAATGGAGTCTTTCCATCGGAGAATGGATTTCTGGGGGAACTTTGTGCTCTCCAAAGAATATGATGGAAAAACGGAAGAACATCTTCGCTCCTATGAAAATTGGCAAACTTTCTTAACCATTCAAACTTCCTCTCTCTTGGGTGGACAAGTTTCTTCCCTTGTAGATCAAATCGTTCAAATTTCCTTGAAAAATACGCGCTCTTTGAAA